CCAAGTACTAAGAGAACGGTGTACCACAAGGTTCTCCATTGAGTGCACGCTCTTTAATCATAGCGATAACGGATGTTTGACGCAATAGACAGCTGTCAATAGGAAAATGATGTATGTAGATGACATTGCTATATTTTACTCAGCCAAATCATGGGAATGGTCAAATTCAAATGCAAAATGCATAATAAAATTAGTACAGAACGCATAAAAAAATTGGTTCTATCCATTTACACACCAAACGAATTGCGTCACTTCAGTCAGAAAAGGAAAAGTTACAGAGATCTGAGCTGACGCTGAATGGTGTCAACTGCATACAATGAAACGGGAAATTCTTGGCTTGATTTTTGATAGCATTTACATGGAACAGCATATAGAATATACCTCGGCGTAGATGCAAAAAGCTCTGAATGTAATAAGATGCATTCCCATATAAATTGGGAGCAGATAGAGACATCTTACTGCGCTGTACAAATCCATGTGATGTCAAAATAGATTATGGATGTGCAGTGTACTCCTCAGCCAGAAAATCAAGTTAAGGAACTAGACCCGTCACAATGCAGGTCTCCGATATGCATCTGGCGCGTTCCGCACTAGTCCTTCCTCAAGTCTACTGTGAAAACCAGCACCATGTCGCTACACACGACGACAAAACAATGCTACTGAATTATAGATCAAAATTGCTGTCTCTACCGAACACATTAAATCACTCTTGATGACTCGACCTAAGCTAGTAAATATTTACGATCAAAGACCTTCAGCAACTCGTCAGCCAACATCCCGCAATCGAGATAGCAAGTGCTACAACACTCTACCAACCAGTTTTGAAACACGAACCATATAATTCCAGTTTGGATGTTGAAAATGCAGGAAGTAAGACTCGATACTACCAGTATAAAGAAACAGAATGCTCCCCATAGATTTAAGGTCGATTTCAACAGTTCTCGAAGAATACATGACAATCACATCATAATCTACAAGATGTTCAAAAACAAAACATCAGGTCGAAGCGCATTTTGTAACTGAGAACTTGTCGAGGGCTTGGCACTTCCACCTGAAGCAAGTGTACACTGCCGAATAATGCAGTATTGCGTCTTTGCGACACTGTGAAACTCTCGATTCAGGAAGGTTCGTCATCTGCACAGACTATCTAAGTCTTCTCACTGCAATAGACAGGCGCCAACTGTAGATCCACTGCTACAATGTATCTCATAGCATTCCTAATTAAGGCAGCGAGGAGCATCAGTTACGTTCATCTGGTGCCCTGACACGTGGTATCCTAGGCAATGAAGAAGCGATTCTGCAGCACGAAATGCGGAACATCAATCAGAAATGGATATTGAAATACACCTCAGATGCAAGAAATGCTGTCCTGAAGTGCACTCACAGAATGCAGACCTCGTGGAACAGTCTTCACACGAAATTAACCCATTAACAAAATCAGTAAATGGTCACCAAATGTCAGCTACCTCGACGAGAACAGTGTGTTTACGCGACTAAGATAGGCCATGCAGAATGACTTTTCTCTACATGTTAAGAAATGAAAGAACAACCATCTGCAGCTGCGAAGACTTCTGAACAGTGAAACATATTCTGACAGACTGCGTAG